CAGCGCCCCTGCTGCCGCTAGTCTTTCGGGGGGTTCTGGGCCAGCTGCTGTTCCCACTCGACTTCAACCAACTTGTACAGCTCCATGGTGGCCTGAGCGTCTTCCACGGAGGAGTGTCCACTTTTCCCGACCTGAACGCAGGAGGAAGAGAAGAGCGTGAAGCCACAAGAGACCATTTCTTTCCTTCCCGACTGGCTTCCCCCCGGCCCCCCGACATGCTGCTGCTGAGTTACTGCCTGCAATGCTACAACTCTGGGGGGGTCTACTCCCGGGTTCCTGTCCGCCCCGGTCCGTTCTGCGCTCTGCAAACACAACGTTCCAGATCACTGACAGGCCTCGAGTCTGGCACCTTCCCCACTTCCACAACCGCTCTCAACATGATGTGCGCCCGCCCTCCTGCCAGGCAGGCCGCCCTCCTCCCGGTGCAAACGTGTCACAAGAGGCCCAGGCGCCCACTCTGCGGACTCTTCAGGGCACCACGATGTGCTTTCTCCTTTTCCCAGCTTGGGTTCTGCATGCACTTGAAGACTCTTCCCTCTCCCAAGCACCCCCTGCGATGCTCTGAGAGGCAGAGAACAGGAACCATTACCCTACTACAGATGGAGAGATTACTGGGCTCTTTGTCCAAAGCTCTTCCCATCAGAGCGGCTGCCTGCATCTACGTCCCAGAGCAATTCTGGGGCTAGAGTCTGCAGCGAGGCAGCAAGGAGCTCCCCCGGCCCGGGTCTGAGCCGGGGGCCTGGCAGCATCTGGGGAGACACTACCTGGATGTCCCGGTTCAGAAGTTTCTTGGTGAGAGTCTTCAGGGACATGGTGGCATTCTCCGGGCAGTCGGCCTTCCGGTTGAGGGGGGGTATATGGGAGGTGTCGCGGGTGAGGGACTTGGGGTGGAAGTACTGGAGGGCTTTGAAGTCGTTGTGGATGGCATGGCCCACCACTATCTTCCCTGTGAGGATCTTCAAGATCTGGAACGGGAGCAGGGGACGCGGTGGTGAGGCGGCCGTGCAGGCGGAGCCCCTGCATCCCAGAAGCCCAACGCGGCCACTGGTCCTTCTAGACTCTCTTCACCATGTGCTCACCTACCTCATGCTCTCCCACAAGGTTTCTTCCATCTGAGGGCCATCTCCACTCCCCGAGGTGAAAGTGGCTGTAACCCGGTTTGGACTTAACCAGTGGTTCCTTATCTTCTCGTTAATTTCCACCCCAATGACAGATCAGTTTGCCTCAGTCCCAAACCACAGTCACGTGTGAGATGTTCGCTAACTATCCAGTTCAGTTCTGGCTTGCTACGTGAACTTCTCCAGCCATTCCCACGTGCTGGCCTCAGGCACACGGCTTGGACGAATGTAGTCAAAGATGGGCTCCAGGGAGGTAAGAGAAGGCCCACGTCGCACACGAACAGTTATGTATATGGGCTTTCTTTGTGGGGAGGGGTCTGTGGTTTCCATCAGACTCTGAAAGGGCCTACAAGCTACAAAAACTTAATAATCACTTGTAGACTCTGGCTGCAGGGGAAAGCGGTCAAGCAGCCGGGAAAGTCAGCCCCACTGCTCTACTCACCAGCTGCTCAAAAACCTTATTCGTACTGGTCTTGAGACCACGTAACCTCTCACCATTTCAGGATTTTTTTTTTTAAAGATTTTATTTATTTATTTGAGACAGAATAAGAGAGAGAAAGAGAGCACACGAGGGGGGGGAGGGTCAGAGGGAGAAGCACACTCCCCGCCGAGCAGGGAGCCCGATGCGGGACTCGATCCCGGGACTACAGGATCATGACCCGAGCTGAAGGCAGTTGCCCAACCAACCGAGCCACCCAGGCGCCCAACCGTTTCAGGATCTTAAAGCGAGAAGACAACCAAAGAATATGCCATGAGCTCTGAAGGCCATTCCCCAAATGGGCTCCAAACAGGTTGTGAACAAGAGCAATAATGCTATGATCAGTGCAGAGCCAACAGGAGCCCCCAGAAGGGGCCAGACCCATCTGAACATCCCCCTAGTGTCACACCCAAGCGTGGGCACCAGGAAGCACTTTATGATGAAAACCCGATGGGAGTCCAATCAACTAGGTACCTGCGTGCTCCTGACTGCAACTGCCATTTACCGTCCACCAACACCTTCACTGCGTGTTCAATCAACACACAGCTCTCCTTGGAGCTGAGCCGTTTGAGATCTCAGACCCAACCCACCTTCTGCCTCTCCCAAGCCCTGCTCAGTGGTGCCCCGGGGCACAGAATCTGCAGCCCTTCCTCTCAAGTTCTTTCTAAAATCCAGCCCCTTCACCTGTGACGAAGCTCCTCCAACTGTCAGGGCATGAACACAATTCGTGGAACAGAGCGTGTCCAGAGAAAACAGAATGTGGAGTTGAAGAGACAGACGCGGACCACGGACGCCCTCTGGAGGCCTCCCAAGACCAGCCGGCTCCCTCTTCACCTCCTCCCTGCGCCTCCCAGGTTCACCCTCCTTTCCCTGTCCCTCTGTGGTGCTCCCAGGGGCCCGCGTCCAGCACGGGGCCACCATGAGGAGGTGTGCTCCGTGAGCGAGGTGAGAACCCTGACACGCCAGCGCCATGTCTTTTACCCCCTCCACTTCAGGCCATCTGTCCCGGGTATACACATCACCTTGCTCCTGCCACCACCACGTCCCAAGCTTGCCACACTTGCTTGGGAACCCTCTCCACCTCTCCGGGCTCAACCCCAAACTCCAGCTATAAAGCAGTCCCAAACTGAGCCCTTTCCCTCGCCATTCATACCTGCTGCTCTGCCCCTCAGCGGCTGTTATTTCTGTGTGGATTCCCAGTTTCCCACACAAGGATTCGTTCTGGGAGCTCAGGTAGGTCTCAGCTAACCCAGTTCATCACAGCAGCTAACTAACTTTCTGGACTCTACCATGCCTCACCCCAGCAGGAAGCCCCCTTCATCTGGCAGTCCACCCCCCTCCCTTCCTCCGCCAGGATCCTTCAGCGCCTTCCTAGGGTGACCTCGCTTGCTAAAAAATGATCTGCACCTCGCTGCCTCCAGCGTACCCCATGCCTCTCACCTGGCTCCGGGCAATCTTGAAGGGTGTAGCATTCACCATGTGCTGCTTCCGGATGCCACTCCATCTGGTCCGGTAGTCCACGATGTGGCAGGGGGGAAGGACATACTCATCATAAAGCACGTCTCCGTGGTAGTTGACAATGCTACATCGGGCCAGGGAACTGACATGCCCCTTGGGTCCTGTGCCCACCATCTCACAGTCAATGGCCACCATCTTCCTTGGCATCTTCTGGGATGCTCCGGAACATTTATTGTCTGAATGAGACTGGGTGGAGCTCTGTGGGGCATTCTTCTGAGTAGGGTTCTTCTGGGGGCCCTTCTTGTGGGGGCGAGTTGGGTGGCTCCTAATCTTTGGAAGGGCACTCTGGAACTCCCCCAGCAAATCCACCTTAGCCACTGCAGACCCGGCCTTCTGTGCAGGGGCAGGGGTCAGCCACGGCACTGCAGCCTTCTTGTCCAGGGACTGCTCTGATCCACTGCTGGAGGAAACGGTCTTCTTTTTTGGAAGGGGAGAGACCTTCCAAGTGCCATCCACGCTAGAGGTCTCCCCTTTCTTTGGAGGTTCTGAGTGCAGCTTAGGCGCCTTGCTCAGGGGCTGGTTCTTCTTATTCAGAAAGCCTCTCCGTTCCAAGAGCCGCCGCTTCCTGACGAATTTGCGGTGCTTGGCATTCCCCTCAAATGCTTTTTTGGGGGGAGGTTCACCAAAATCCAGATTGAGGAGTAACGTAGACATGAGGACAGCGGACGGCAGGAAAGCAGGTGGGAAGTGGCTTACTGATGACAGAAAGACAGAGCACTCATCCTCTGTTGAACCCCACAGGCCGGCATCTGGAGATCTGGAGTACACCCTGGGGAAGAAAGTGATCCTGATAACCGAGCCCGCAGGCCTGGTAAACAATAAGACCCATCGGCGTGGGGCTTAAAGTTGGAAAGACCTCAGAGCGACTGCCCAGAGTGGGAATGAAACTGTAATGTGAAATGATGTCAGGAGCACTGTCTGAGCCAGGAAGCCTGGATTCCGGCGCGGCCCCACAATTCATCAGCTGTACGGTCTTGACGAGGGTCACCTGCCCTCTCCCGAGCTCAGTCTCATTCGGAAACTGAGTGGGCTGTAGGGCTAACCAGCTCGAACTCTGAGCCTGGAAAGCCAGAACAGGGGAGCTCCATCATCCGCCCGGGGAGGGGAGGTCTAAGTGTGCTCGCCAGCAGTGGCGGGGCCGGCCCCCAGGGCCTCTGGATTACCCTGGCACCCCCCGCGCGGCTCCCTCGGCTCCAGGCCGGGGGGACCCTCCGCAAGCATCTCACCCCAGCCCTGCTCCCGAGACAGGCCCTCTGACCAACACATATCCGCCGGGGAACCGAGGCTGGGGGCCGCCTACCTCGGCGAGTACGCCGAGGTGAGAGGGGGCTCCCCGCCACGGACAGCGCCCCTCGCGCCCACACCTACCTCCCAAAGGGCCCCGCTAAGAGCGGAAGCGCCCGGAGCCGGATGCGGAAGTCGGCGCGTGTTGGCGAGGCCCGGGCCGGCAGGCGCGCGGATTGGACCGCGCCGGGGGCCGGCGTGCGCGGGCCCGCAGCGCCCCCGCCTCCGGGAGCAAGGCCAGGGACTCCGAGTGCGTGAGCGGCGGCGGCGGCGGCGGCGGCGGCGTGGGGGGCGGCGGGGGCAGGATGCGCTCCCCGGCCCCTCTAGCCCCGTGGAGGTACAACTCGAAGGAGGGGAGGCCGCGCCCCGCGAGAAACGCCGCACGCGGGACCGGCCTCACTTCCGGGGGAGGAGGGAACTGCGCGGGGAGGGGCGGGCCTCGGCACGCCTCTGTGACGTACTGCGCGGCGCCCCGCCCCACGTGTGCGCCCACGCCGCGCCGCGCCGCGACCTGTGACGTCAGGGGGAGCGTCCCGTCTTCCGCCCCAGCCGGCCGGGGAAGGGGCGTCGGGGGTGCGGGAGCCCAGCGGGTCCCGTCCCCGCGCAGCGCGCTCTCGTTGCTGACGCCGCCGCCACTGCTGCCAGGGATGCCGGGCGTCTCCGCGCGCGGCCTCTCTCTGGAGCAGAGGAAGCAGCTGGCCGTGAACCTCACCCGTGTGCTGGCGCGCTACCGCTCCATCCTGGACGCCTACATCATCGTGAGGCCACGGGGGTGCGGTGGGTTGGGTGCGCACAGCAGGCGCAGAATCCGGAGAGGTGGCTTCTGCCCGCTCCTCGATGCGTCTGTGCAAGAAAGGAACCATCCCCCCCTTTGCTTTTCGGTTGACATACATTTTAATATTCCTAATCTCTGGGTGGTTTCTCTCACCTACCCACGTCCAAAGTAAAACGCGTGGACGCGGCTACGTTGAGCTTCTCCTAGGAACACGCGAGGTGTTCCAGAATCACCCAAGCTTTGGCTAAATCCCCGGTTCAGCAGTGTAATGGGCTGTTAGAGCTTTGGAGTCCACTGACTTACTGCCTCCCTTACAGGGTCAGCCTTAGGCGTTTAAAGAAACTCCTCCTAGCCCGGGTTTCTCAGCTGTAATGGTAACCCCTGTCTGAAGGCTCACGGTGGGGAATAAATGAGAGGATGTATGAATGGCACCAGTATCCACTGACTCGTCCAGCCCCAAACCCAGAAGCGTCCTTGATTCGGCTTCCTCCTTCATTGATGCACAGTCCAGTCCTTCCCTTAGCTCTACCTGCAGAACAGATATCAAATTCACCCATTTGTTTCCATCTCCATTGCTACCCCCCAGGGCGAAGCCACCATCCTCTCTCTCCTGGACCACTTCCTAACTGATCTCTGTGTCTACTTTTACATAACCATTTCTTCATAAAGCTGCCTGATCTCTTTAAAACGTAAAGCTGATGAGGGGCGCCTGGCTGGGTCGGTGGTAGAGTAGTAAGTTTGAGCCTCACGTTGGGTGTAGAGTTTACTTTAAAAAAAAAAAAAAGTAAGGGACGCCTTGGTGGCTCAGTCGGTTAAGCGGCTGAGGTCGTGATCCCAGCGTCCTGGGATTGAGTCCCACATCGGGTTCCTTGCTCAGTAGGGAGCCTGCTTCTCCCTCTGCCTGCAGCTCCCCCGGCTTGTGCTCTGTCTCTGACAAATAAAATCTTAAAAAAAAAAAAAAAAGTTAAATCTGATCAAGACACTGCCTTGCTTCCTGGGTACTTTGATGAAATCTTAAGTTCTTACCGTTATCTAGAAAGTGCTGCACGATCCGTCCCCTGCTGCCTCGTGAAGACCATCACTTTGGTTCTCCCACATTCCCTTTCCAAACCTATACTGACCTGATTTCTGTTCTATAAACATGGCGGGCGCCTGGGCCTTTGCACTTACTAGTGTGCCTGGAATGTCTTCCTCCACGGGAAGGCAGTAGAACAAAGTGGTTAGGAGCAAGAACTAGAGTGGAGTTGGTTTCAGATCCCAGCTTTGCTACTTACTAGCTTTTTGACTTGGACAAGTTACTGAATTGCTGTGTGTCAGTCTCCTTATTTGTAAAATGGGAGGTAAGCTAGTACTTATAGGGTTGTTTGAAGATTAAATGCATTAACATGTGGAAAATATTTTGGACAGCACCTGGCATATTAAAGTATTTTATAAGTGCTATTACCTGAATTTTTTTAAGACTTTATTTATTTATTGGGGGGGTAGGGAGCACAGAGGGAGAGCGAAAGGGAGAAGCAGGCTTCCCGCTGAGCAGGGAGCCTGATGCGGGGTTTGATCCCAGGACCCTGGGATCATGACCTGAGCCGAAGGCAGACACTTAACCAACTGAGCCACCCAGGCACCCCTCTCCCCTTTTTTGGATGAAAACTTTTAAGATCTATGTTTGGCAACTTTCAAATGCGCAATACAGTATTATTAGCTACAGTCACTCTGCCGTACATCTCTGTGATCTATTTATTTTATAACTGCCAGTTTGTACTCTGACCCCCGCATTGCCACAGCTGCCCCCCTCCAGCAGGTACCACCTGGCCTTTCTTATCTGCTGTTGCGTATTTGTCATTCACGTCTCAGCTCAAGAGCCGGCCCCTCAGACAAGCCTTCCCTGTTGCGCCCTCGAAGTAGCATTCTCTCAAACTCCATCATGTTACTGTTTCGTCAGGGTTTTAGTGTCTATGTGGCATTTGATGTTACCTGAAATTATCTTTTTTATGTAAACTTTGTGAGAACAAGAATCTTGTCTGTCTGGTTCCTTGTATCCTCTGCGCCTAGACTAGAGCTTGGTGAGTGACCAGAGCTCCAGAGTGGGTGATGAACAAACGCATGAATAAAAACGCATTCTGTCACATACAGCGTCTGGCACGTAAAGTGTCTGGTACACATACTGGTAGAGTGTTAAATGGCAACGTGCTGATACGACAGGCCAGTCACTGCACTTTTGGGGATGCCCAGGTGAAGGCGCCGTTGCGTGGAGGGAACACACAGAGCAGCGAGCAGGGGAAGTGCTGCAAGGAGAGGCGTGTCCAGAATGCCGCCTGGGCCCCAAGAGGGGTTGATGGAGTCCGGCTTCAGAGAGCGGTGACTGGGATGGGCAGGGAGGAGTGGGGAGGGCAGTGACCAGACTGCTTCTCCCCTGCTCCTGCAGGAATTCTTCACAGACGACCTGTGGAGAACACTCCCTGGCTCATGGCAGGAAGCACTGGACGGACTGAACCCGCCACAGCTGGCCACACAGCTGCTGGGGATGCCCGGGGAAGGGGAAGTGGTCAGGTATGGGCAAGAGGGTCCCCGGGCTGGTGGGACTCAGGCTCAGAGTCCCCCCCGGGCTTCCTGGGTTGCAGACTGGTGCGGTCAGGATGCAATGGAGCTATTCACCGGGGTCCCGGGCCGGCCTGTCACAGGTACAGGTCGGTGTGGCCACTCTCTCTGCTGGCCCTGAAGTCCACAGCCTGTGCCCTGGCCTTTGCCCGGACACCTGGGTTTCAAACCCCCTCCGAGTTCCTGGAGAACCCCAGCCAGAGCTCCCGCCTGCCAGCCCCGTTCCGGAAACACGTGAGGCCCAAGAAGCAGCACGAGGTCCGGAGGCTGGGAGAGGTGAGGTGACTGGCGTTCAGGCGGCACCTGGGAGCAGGCGCCGTGGGCTACCAGGGCGTGAGCCCCTTCTGTCACCCGCGGCACCAGCCTCGGCAGGCGTACGATAATCGTATCTCAGTCCTGCGGCTTTTTGTGTTGTTTGTCCTTTTGACGGGTTGGTTGGTGGCTGTGTCCAAATCACTGTCTTCTTCCCGTTTTCCACCTCCGCCATCCGCTCTGGGCTTCACGGTGGGGGCTCCCCTCCTTGTTCATGCTGAGAGGGGTGAGGAGAGGAGCCTGAGCCTGGGGTCAGCACCCTCCCTCTTGGTTTCCATGTGTCCTGTGTCCCCTGTGGCCCCCCCTCGCCATCCTCCCCTGCCACCTGCAGCTCCTCCACCCTCACTGTGGGTGTTTGCTCTGGGAGCCAACAGCGAGTAGCCAGGAGAACTTTGTCCCTCCTCTTGTAGTTGGTGAAGAAGCTGAGTGACCTCACAGGCTGCACCCAGGTTGTGGATATAGGTTCAGGCCAGGTGAGTCAGACCCCTGGTATTCTGGGGTTTGGGGTTTCTTTTTTTGAATTGCAGGGATAGAAAGCTGGAGGCAGGTTACAAGGCCACAGGCCCCAGGAAGCAGGTGCTGAGGAGTGGTGGAAGTTGGCAGATAAGCCGTCTGGGGGCCTGGGCCACTTCCTGACGGTGGGAGGCTGACAGCGGAGGGGGCACTGAACAGGGCTGTCTCTGTCCTCCCTCTCATGACTCCAGGGCCATCTCTCCCGATTCATGTCCCTGGGGCTGGGGCTGATGGTGAAGAGCATTGAAGGGGATCAGAGACTGGTGGAGAGAGCCCAGCGCCTGGATCAGGAGCTCCTGCAGGCTCTGGAGAAAGAGGAGAAGAGGCACCCACAGGTAGGCCGGTTTTCCCTGCGGCCGGGCTGTGGGCGGGGTCCAGTTGGCTGGAATGGGGCACCGAAGCTGGACCCACTCTTCAGTTTCTGGGATTGAGATGGTGTCGTCTCTAATCCTGCTGCCCCTTGCCCGAGGGCCCCCTTTCGCCAGAGCCTCCTCACATCCTAAAGGCACTTTCTAGTTACCAAGTGCTTTCCACACTGCTGTGTTTTCCCCACCACCTGCCAAGTGGCCGGTCAGGTACCAGGCTCCTAATGGACGAGGGCACCGGGACTCAGGGAGGAGGTTTGCGGTTCCCCATGAGGGGCCCCAGAGCTCAGCCTGTCTCCTGATTCAAGGCCCAGCTGTCCCGGGCCCCAGCTTCTCCCCCTCCTTGGGAAGGAAGGCAGAGGACACATCCTGTCCTGTGACCTGAGGTGGCATGGGGACAGCAGACAGACTTCCCACTTGCCTTTGTTCCGCCCTGCCTCCACAGGCGGTCCACGCAGGCCCTCGCCACTCGCCACACCACGTGGTTAGGTGGGTGGAGCCCACGGCCCTGTGCGAGGAGCTGCTGCTTCCCCTGGAGACCCTGCCCCAGAGTGGGGCCCGCTTGCTGCTGACAGGGCTCCATGCGTGCGGGGACCTGAGCGTCGCCCTGCTGAGGCACTTCTCCTGCCCCGAGGTGGTGGCACTGGCCTCAGTGGGCTGCTGCTACATGAAGCTGAGTGACCCCGGCGGCTACCCGCTGAGTCAGTGGGTGGCCGGGCTGCCGGGCTGCGAGCTGCCCTACCGGCTTCGGGAGGGAGCCTGCCACGCCCTGGAGGAGTACGCCAAGCGGCTACAGAAAGCGGGCCCTGGCCTCCGCACCCACTGTTACCGCGCAGCACTGGAGACCGTCATCCGGGGGGCCCGGCCTGAGCTTCGGCGGCCCGGCGTGCAGGGGATCCCCAGGGTCCACGAGCTCAAGATTGAAGAGTGAGGCTGGGGGGAGGCGGGGGGTGGAGAGGGGGCTTCACCGCCTGATTTCCCCCCCAGCCTCACTTGTTGGCTTATCTCAACAAAGTTCTAAATGTGCCCAGGGGCTTGATGTTGAAGTCTCGGGGCAGCTCCTCAAAATTTCTTTAGAAGGGAGATGTCGTTCTCCTATCTGGGTACTATCAAGTTTTTCAAATGCTGAAAATATAGCTAAATAATTGGACAGATCTGGCTGAAAATAAATTTTGCGGTTAATTTGCGATTGGACAGACAGCTCACAGCCAGAGAAATGTTTGAAAATGCATCCTAGGGTAGCACATGAAGCAAAGTTGCAATTGAATTAGGAATGGACGGTTTTGAGTGGGCGGTGTGGGTTCCTGAAACCAAACTGAGTGCTGTCTGTGGCTGACCCCACAGATACGTGCAGCGGGGGCTCCAGCGGGTGGGGCTGGACCCCCAGCTGCCGCTGAATCTGGCTGCCCTTCGGGCCCACCAGGCCCAGGAGAACCGAGTGGTGGCCTTCTTCAGCCTGGCCCTGCTTCTTGCCCCACTAGTGGAGACGCTGATTCTGTTGGACCGGCTGCTCCACCTTCAGGAGCAGGGTGAGGGTGGCCTACCGTGGGGACCCTGGGTGGGCGGGGCTGGAGTTCTGAGGCTCCTCCTCTGGGCCCCCAGCCCCCACAGCTGCCAGGCAGCCTGGGTTCCTCCCTGCAGTGATTCTCCAGCCAGTCAGCTGTGGGGCGGGAGACAGGTCTGCAGATTCCTACTGAATCGGACTCCCATCCCTGAGCTGCATTTTAAGCCAGAACCCTGGGCATCGAGAACCTACAGTGGGCACCCCATTCCTGGTGGAGAACTGGGTCTCCTTAGATACCCTGAGGCCTCCCCCATGGGGAACAGGGGCTGTGCCCACAGACTAGGCAGGGAGTGGCTGAGAGTGTCTCTGTTTCTTTTTGAGTAGCCCTGCCTTTCTCCTAGGCTTCCATGCTGAACTCCTGCCCATCTTTAGTCCTGAGCTCTCTCCCAGAAACCTGGTTCTGGTGGCTACGAAGAGGCCCCTGGGTGAAGCCTTCTCTCTTCTGGAGACTGAACACAGCTGACAAACCCCATCTGAGACCACCCAGGCATCACACTCACCCAGAGAACCACCAATCTCTATCCCTGGAACCCTGATTTCTCCCTCCATGTGTTAACGTGGTATGATGTAAAAATTTATTTTTAATTTATTAAATAAGTGAAATCTTCATTTCCCTGCCATTACCAGTCAGTATAGAAAAGGATGGATGTGCAGCCTCCCTACTAAGATGCTGTAGAGATGCCACAGCTGGGCCTCACACCCCCCACCCCACCTCCCTCCCTAGCGGGTAACACCCCATTACTCACGGGTCTCCCTCCCAGCACCTGCAGGCCCTGCCCCGGGGAAGGCTGGCGAACTTCCATCCAGGCTCTGTCAGTACGTGAGTGCAGAGGCCCCTTCCTTCAATCCCAGAAACGGTGCGCCGGGGTCAGGCATGCCCATCTACCGGAAGACAACAGCTGCACGCGGGGGAAGACTCGTGGCTCTTTATTGGGGTCTGGAGAAGAGGTAGCCCTGGCCTTCAAGGTGAAGACAAGGAGGGGAGAGGCTGCGCCCCCAGGTTCAATACCAGTAGACCTTCTTGTGTCTCCGAGTCTCCTGGATCCCCATGGCCTCCATCACCTCTTCCTCCAGTGTCTTTAAGCAGGGCACATAGGTTCTTTCTAGAGCATCTTCCACCGAGGTGTCTTTGGGACCATCTGTTGAGCCAGAGGAAAGAGGGCTTCTCAACACCCCTCACTGCCACTCCTACCACCCCCAGCCCACCTTCCTGCCCCTCCGCCTGCCTCACCGGTCCATGTTTCAGGGACGATGCCATCAGCTCTGGGAAAATCAGGTTTGGGGATAATTCTTCCTGATCTTGAGGAGACACGTACCCGCTCTCCTGCCTCTGTGAATCTCCATTCCACCTCAGTGGGTTTCCTAGTGGATGGAAGAGAGAAACCCAGCATGGGAACCAGGTCTTCCTGCTGCGTTCCGTCCAAAAAAGTCAATGGCTGAAAACATTAAAGTCACCATCTTGTCGCTGTTCCATCTGTACGTCATGTCCATCAGATGGATGGCCCCTTTGAACTTCCAAAGACTGCAACCCACCGTTCCTTTTGTATAAATGTGCTCAGCACCCATGCAGATGCGCAGGGTGGGAAACCCTCTGACTGGGGCCCCATGTGCTTGCCTGTCCACAGGATCCACAAGTTTGACCTGGTTGTGGAGCAAGGGTGCTTCGCTAGGGATCATGGTTCCCCGGTACTCCCCGGTCTTGCCAACATAGCGGTAGTGCTGTCCAAAAGAAAGGTGGTCACATTCAGCCCCAGGGGACAGCAGAGCCGTCAGCTGCATCACTGCCCCTGCGGCTCGTCTCCTCCCTCCCCAGGCTGCTCTCTGTGCAGTGACGGGACAGCTTCCTGAGAAGCCCCATCTCTCTCCACTCACTGTATTCAGTCCCTCCAGGACCACCCAGTTGCGCTGCCGGATGACTTGAACCACTTTGCCTTGCTTCCCAGCATCCTTGCCTTCGAGAACCTCCACCTGCAGGAAGACATGTGGGTCAGGGAGTGGGGGATCCTTGCCCGGGAGCCCCCCGCCACTCCATCCCACCCGAGGCTCTCACCGTGTCCCCACAGAACAGATGCCATTCTTCATCAGAGATGGGTTCCACAGCCACCCGGCGCCGCCTGGTCCCTGGAGGGTTCTTCCTCCTGTCTGCCAGAGAGCCTGGGCGGCTCATCCCATAGCGGTAGTCTCGGGGCAGAGTGACCTTGGAAGCCAAGGCCAGCAGGGCAGAGAGACGCATGGCTGGAGGCCGGGAGAAATCCCCTGGCCAGGGAAGATCCAGAAACCTTCCTAGTCAGCTCTGAAGTAGATGGATAGAGGGGCTCCTGGCTGGCTCAGTCGGGAGAGCATGTGACTCTTAATCTTAGGGTCCTGAGTTCAAGCCCCGCATTGGGTGTGGAGCCTATTGTTAAAAAAATAAAAAATTAAAAAACAAAAACAGAGTAGACAGAAACAAGTGGGCAAAGAAGGAATATTTTTTATACTCAGTCCATTGCTAGATGCATCGCATTGAATCCCTACAAAATGTTATCTCCACTTTACAGATGAAGAAGAACTTAACTGAGGTTCAGTGACTTGCCCATGGTCATAAAGCTACTATGTGAGAACTGAAATTCAAACTCCCATGTATCTGACTTCAAAGTCCAAAAAGTTCTCCGAGGCCAGGGACCATGCCATCTAGTTTACCCGAGTCCAGCAGATCCAAGCAGGGCTTGGCACACAGTAGATACTCAGTAACAGTTATTAGATACTTGCACAAACAGCAGCATAGGAAACACACAGGTAAGGGGAACAAACCAGTGGCACAAGGCCAAGGGGCAGGCAGTTATAAGGCGAAACATAGAAAAAAAAATGGGATTAAAATGTCCCTATACCACTTCCAATTCCTAAACTCATTTGGGAAATAAGCACTTCTCCTCCCTAAGACAGCTTCTTTTCTAAAGGAAAAGGCCCCAGAGCCAGACTCTAGGATTATGGAGTCCTGGATTTCCCAACTAAGTATGTACTGGAAGCCTCCCAATTTTGGATGATGGACTAAGTCAGTGGGCTGATGATGAGAGAACTGAGGCAAAAATCGTCATGCGCTTCAACTTATTGAGCACTTGCTACCTGCCAGGCGCCACGCGGCTTTCTTGCATCATGCACTAAAGGAAAGGGATGGAGGGGGCACCTGGGTGGCAGTTAGCCAGTTAAGCGTCTGACTCTTTGATTTTGGTTCAGGTCATGGTCTCAGGGCTATAAGACTGAGCCCTGCATTTGACTCCACAATCAGCGGGGAGGGATTTTCTCTTTTTCTCCCTCGGTGCACATTCTCGCTCTAATAAACACATAAATCTTTTTTAAAAAGGGGGGAGGGGGAAAGGATGGAGCAGGGATCGTTAATCATATTTTATAGCTAAGAATGGAGTCTAACTTCAAAATACAAATAAAGTGCACTCTTGGGGCGCCTGGGTGGCTCAGTCGGTGAAGCGTCTGCCTTCGGCTCAGGTCATGGTCCCAGGGTCCTGGGATGGAGCATCGGGCTCCCTGCTCCGCAGGAAACTTGCTTCTCCCTCTCCCTGCCATTCCTCCTGCTTGTGCACTCTCTCTCTCTCTGTCGGATAAATAAATTATTTTTTGAAAATAAAATCTTTAAAAAAAAAGATTAAAAATCAAGTGCACACTCAGGGCACAAAGAGCTGCTGGGTCAAAGACCTGGGTGCCCCTCTGTGCTCACCACCTTACTCTGTGACCCAGGGCAACCAAACCTGTGAGCTTTTTTAATCATCCTTAAGATTTTACAGTTTTGGGGCACCTGGGTGGCTCAGTCGTTAAGCGTCTGCCTTCGGCTCAGGTCATGATCCCAGGGTCCTGGGATCGAGCCCCGCATCGGGCTCCCTGCTCGGCGGGAGGCCTGCTTCTCCCTCTCCCACTCCCCCCGCTTGTGTTCCCTCTCTTGCTGTATCTCTCTCTGTCAAATAAAGAAATAAAATCTTAAAGAAAAAAAACGGATAATGTGCTGATAGATCTATTAAAAAAAAAAAACCACCTTACAGTTTTACCTTCAACGTTATAACAAAGTACAGAATAATGTGAATGGTATGTCGTTTAGGCAAATTAAAAATATATACATTCTGGCACAGACTTAAATATTTATGCGAAGGAAAGAGCCCCAGGGCTTGTTTGGGGCGAGGTAACTGTTTGGGGGCGCGGTTCCTTTCCATCTTTTCCAACTATGCGCACTGGGGGGAGAAAAACCAAATCGGAACTGGTTTATCTGAACCGTCGGTCATTTTTCTTTATACTTCTCAATATGAAAAAGACAACGCCTAACGCTCTCCTCAATTAACGTCGGCCTCAATGTTCCCATGCAGATCCAACACACGCTTGGGAGCACAGCTCTGTGACAGACCGAATGCGGGGAACCTCACCGCCGCCGCCGCCCTGGGAAGGAAGCTGACAGGTGCGAGAACCACAGGGTCGGTTCCGCAGATGAGGAAACCCGCCGGATCGCTGCGAGAGGTCCTGGCCTCGGCCACTCTCGGTTTGCAGCTCCGGGAGGAGACCCCAGAAGCCAGCCCCCTGGACGCTGCCCTCCTCTCCTGCACACCCTGGAGGGGCTGTCCTCGGGGTGCTTGCGCGGCGGGCTCCAGCAGTCTTCAGCACCCACACGCTCCAAGCAGCCGACTGAGCCACGGCCGGGGCAAACGAAAGCCCTTCCCAACCCCGGCTCCCGGGCGAGCCCAGCGAGGTCACCACCACCTGGGTACCGCACGCTCACCTCCGCTTCCCGCCGCGTAGCCGCGCCGCCCGCACCTGCGCCCTGAGCACGCTATCCCCGCCTCCCGGTCCCTCGGCTTTCTGGGAAATGTAGTCCAAATGCAGAGCGGACGCCCAAACCAACCTCGCTCTGCAAGCTGGGAGTTGTAGTCCGCCGCTACGAAGCCAGAGGGAAACAGGAAATTTGGTCGGGTAGGAAATCAGGAAGCGTAAGAACACCGAGAGGCACGTTGGGAGTTGAAGGCACGGCGGGATAGGCTTCAGCGCCCGGCACGTTCCCTCGAGCGCTCTGCGTGGGGGCCGCTGGGAATTGTAGTTTCCAGAGAGGAGGGCTCCATTTTATAGGGGTTGCGGCTTCCTATTCCGAGCAGAGGGCCTCCGTTTCCAGGCTGGGCTGCGGCGGGTCGTTTCCGCGCGCGCCCCAGTCTGCAGTAGGGGGCCAGGGCAGATTAAGAAACTGCCCTAGGGCTTCCGCAGGAAGGGGTGAAACGTGGGCCATTCTAAGTTGATGAGCTTGTCACAAAATGTCAGCTCTGGGAGGGGAGGCACGGGAGATGACCGGCTCCGGCCCCTGCACGCAACTCGGGGTCGTGGGAGGACCCCACGCTGCCAGCCTCCCGGCCCTTCCCCACCACTTAAGGGTGGCGGGCACCCCTAGCTCTGACCCGTGGCAGCAGCATCGCTCCCCGCCTTCTGGAGCAAACCTCCGCTCTGAGGCCTCCCGGGTGACGGTGGGGTGAGCTGTGTCCCCCAGCGGCCGGCAGGAGCGGACTGAGGGGTGCAGTTCGTGCCAACTCTGCCGGAGCAGAGAGGCCGGCACCACCCACCTCCATCCGAGAGGGGACCACTGCATTCGGTTCCCCATCCCAGCCCTCCAGTTCACCAACAACCTCCCCGCAAGAAACAGTCAAGATCCAATCTAGTAATCAACGGGTTTTATTTTCCTAGAACTGAAATTGTCTACTGTTTTCATAGCTAAACAACCAAAGCTACAGTCAGCAATTTTTCATCAGAGCCCAAGGGAGAGGGGCGAGGGGGAGACAGGAGACTGGAGAGCGGCAGAGAGACCGCGCGAGAGGCTGGGCGAGGGCACTTCTTCCCCTGGCCTCTCAGTGGGTTTCGGGTCTGCGGACGACACTGAGGAGACCAGGTGGGGGATGGGAATGGGAAATGACACGAGAAGGAACACCAAAGCCCCAGCTACAAAAAGAAAAGTCATCAAACCCCAAATAGAAGGGGAGCCTCCCAGTGCACCTCAGAAATGGGGGCCACAGTGGGGAAGGAGTGAGGAGGAGGAGGGCACACAAAGGGATAGGGGTCTTTAAAATTTTTTTTTTTGTAATTTTCTTTTATTAAAAACATTTCCTAAAAAATGTGTCTTTTCCTTAACGTCTGGGTGACATATATGACTGTAGGCTGGCCTTGAGCACGTGGGGGAAAGGGCAGCTAGGGGTCTCCCCAGGGCAGAGATCAAGGGGGGACAGATACTCTTCAACACTCCCACCCTAGCTGGGTGAAGCCAACCCTTCCAATCTCGGGAGGCCCCAATCTTTTGATGATCAACTACAACTCCCAGAACTCCTGGGGTCAGCAAAAGGAAGAAGAGTGTTGTTAATCATCAAGGATTCATGGAAGGGAGCCCCTCCCCCACAAGCTGTCCCACTTTCCCTGAATCTAGGCAGCTGGGGTAATAGGTACGGGAGGAAGGGACAGGAGTGCAAGATGCCATCCTCCTGCCCACCCCCCTCCCCAATTTGAAGATTGCCCCTCTGAGGCCCAGAAGCCGCCCCTGCTGTTTATTCTCCATCCTTTCCACTCCTACCTCTGATCCCAGCTAACCCAGAGGTCCAGAATGCTGCGGGGGGGTGGGGATGGAGGAGGTGTCAGGAGGTGGAAACAGCCAGTCCAGGCCCCAGCAGATCCCTCAGAAACAGCTCCAGGCAGGGAGGGACACAACGGTCTCATCTCAGCCCATGAAGCAGAAGACAGAACCCTGACTCAGATCACAGGGGTGTTGGGAACATGGAGGTGAGGGCCAGGTGGCCTGCCCCATCCAGGTCCATCTCCAGGGGCTGGGCTTGGAGTGGGGAGCATCAATGGAAGCGGACAGCAGGGGGGAGGGGGGGAGGGGTTCCCAGTTTGCAGGCCATGGCCAGTTTCCCCAGTAGCACCCAGACAGCAGCAGGAACGGGGCGGGGGCTCCTCTTGAAACATTGGTGGCTACAGGCTGCGGGGGAGGGTTGGAGGGGAGAAGGGTTATGGGTGCGGCCTTGCGCTGGCCACACCCCAGCCCGTGCCAGTCTCCTGGGAGAGCCCACCCCGCCTCTGCGGCAGGCCCACCTCCTCCTCCTCCTTTCCACAGCTGGCTGCCCCCCCCTCCCAGCTGCCTCAGGGCAGGGGCTCCCTCACCTCTCATGATCTCTGATGCCTGGCGCCTCAGCATCTTCCTTGGCAGCCTCTTCTTCCTCCTCCTCCTCCTCCTCTTCCTCCTCCTCCTCCTCCTCCTCCTGAGGAGGACCCCGGCCAGAGCTGGGCTCAGAGGGGGTGCTGTTCTTCTCCACCTCCACGGGGAGGGGCCTCTCGCCCTCCAAGGGGGCTACCTCCTTCTCCTCCCCTTCGGGGTCTTCTGCCTCCTTGGGACGTTTAGGGGAGTCCTACGTAGGATTGGCAGAGACGAGGCCAGCTGAGGCTGGAGAGGGAGGACACCAGCCACCTAGCAGTCCCCCCCCGCCCCCCACTTTCAGAGGGGCTCCTTCCTGGGCACACCCACAGTCCACTTCCCCGGCCCTCTGCCAGCTGACGCGTCCCTAGGGACTCCAGACTAGGAGCTGGTCTCCCCCAGATTGAGATGTCAGTGAAGAAGGAGCAGCTGCCCCCACCCGCCACCCTGCCCCACGGCCCCAGGCGGCACTCGGCTACCTCCAGCGCGTCCCCCGCTCTCCTCTTCAGTGCCCCCTTCTCGTTCTTCTCCTTGGCCGGCTCGTCGATGACCAGCTTCCCTTCCTCGTCACTGCTGCCCTCGGCGCTCCCCTTCCTGTCGCCATCCCCCTCTGTGGCTTCGGGCTCGGGCTCGTCCACTGAGCTCTTCTTCGGGGTGGACTGCGCGCAGAGACGGCAGAGGCTGAGTGGCACCAGCGCGGCCTGCGGGGCCCCTCCCCAGACCCACCCGCGGCCACTCACTCCTTCCTTCTCCCACCTCGCCCCCGCCCACCCCCCAGGTGCCCAGTCTCACGAGTGATTTGAGACCCACCTCTGTCGGATTAGCCCCGGGCTAAACCCACTGGCCGGGCAGGCAGGGCTCTGTGCAGGAGGGGGGAGGGCTGGAGCAGGAGGCAAAACCTCGGGTCAACTTCTCCCGAAGGGAGCTGGGACCCTTTCCCCGCCGACCCCCGCCCCCCACCCTCCCGCCTCATCCTGCCCGGCTCACGAGCACCTCCTCCTGGAAGCCTTTGTGGAAAGAGTTAAGGCCAAGTCCTACGCTCACACTAGGCCCCATAAAGGGCTGTCCCCACTTACCGCCTCTGTCCTGTCCTTGCCCCCCACACCACACACCACCCCCTGCAACCCCAGCCCCTCCTGCAGGGCCCCCCACCCCCACCCCAGGAGCTCCTGCCCTGAAAACCCTGGTCTCTCAGCCCCATCCCTGAAGGCTAAGCATCCCCAGCCCTGTGGGCCCCGGAGACAGTGGCCACACCTGCTTCCCGGGGGGGGGTCTCTGGGGTGGACAGCTGCTCACCTGGTAGCCCGAGGCCTTGACAGTGGGGTTGTTCTCGATCTCCCACAGCCCCTCGCTGAAGCCTTTCCTCTTGTTGGGCTTGCCGAACTTCTCCTTGGACTCCTCGTACGGGAAGAGGTCTTTGGGGCCCAGGAATGCCCTGGGGAGAGATGGGAGACTGTGCTCTGGAGCCCTCGCTGCCTGAGCTTCCAAGCCCCAGGGGAAGGGGCGCCAGCACGGCCTCTGGCCTGCCCCACCTACAGCCCCTCACTCACGTCTCATGGGTCCCGAAGAAAAAGACTTGGTACTTGTTGGCTGTGGATTTCACGGCAGCCTCAGGCATCTCGTCAATCTGGGAGCAAGATGAGGGAAGCGAGTGAGTGGAGTCCTGAGGTCACAAATCTGGGGCCGAGGCCGGCCTCCAAGACACATTCGTGTAAAACCAGACTGAGAGGGACCCGGGAGATACCCCAGGTGGTGTTTAAACCCTTTTTAGCAGCGAAACTTTGTTCAAAGTCAGACATTAAGCCCAGCAGAAACCTGGAGTTGGCCCCTCTCCACGATGGGCGGGACGGCACTTGTTCTGCGGGCCCATTACCCCAGCCCAACCAGGGTCACCTGTCCCCTTGGGCTCACTGGACTACAGCCCGCCTACAAGCTACCACCCCCACGGCAGCCAGGGGGGGCCTTCCAAGTGCTGCCTTGAGCACTTCTCCCTCTGCTCAAAACCTTCCAGGTTCCGCTCACTAGAGTGCCCACCTGATCACCTCCTCCGGAGCATCAAGGTCTGAATCCCCACACTGCCACCAATATACCTGGATGACCTGAGGCAACTTACTCAACTGTCCTTAACCTGTTACCCCATCTGTAAAATGGAGAGTGTCATGGTACTTAAGTCGTAGGGTGGGGAAGGATTAAATGGCCACAACCTGGCCAGTAACCCAGCCCACAGGCACTAGCTCTCCTCCTCAGCCGCATGCTGCCCTTCTCCTCCCTGCTCCAGCCACACTGGCCTCTGGTCCCCCACACTCATTCGGTCCCGGTGAGCCTTCCCACCCCAGCCCAGCCGGCCCCCCATAGAAGGCTCAGCCCCTCTTCTTCAGAGCACCCGTGTTACAGTCACCCGCGTGAGCATCTGAACGCTGCCTGTGTGGGCTCTGGCTTACACCTGCCCCGAGATCTGAGAGCAGGTGTGTCTGTACCACCCCCCCCCCCCCCCCCCGCTCGGGGCCTAGCATACAGTAGGCTCACAAGAAAGATCTGCTGAAGGAAGTTAAGAGACAGGTAAAGGCAGACTACTCTGGTGGACGGGGAAGGCCAAAGGGCTGCCTATCAGACACCCCTCTCCGAAGCAATGTCAAAGGCCTCTGGGGGGGAACACTCTGAAAGCCTGTGGATGTAGTCAGGCACTCTTGTTTTATAGATGAGGAAACAGGGCCCCCAAATGACAGGGGAAATTAGTGAGGGTCTGAGTTGGTTTCCTGACTTGACCCCCCTGTCCCCCCCCCATGTTCTGGGGGACGAGGAGTGCCGTGGTGGGGAAGGTGCAGAGGTGTGCGGTCAGGGAAATGGACAGGCAGTGACCCCAGCAGCCTCCCCAGATCAGGTCCTGGAAGCCCAGGCCCAGCTGAGCTGGGGGGGGGGAGGACTACAACTCCCAGCAACACTTGCAGCAGCCCAGCAGCCCGGCTTCCCGCCGGACACAGGCCAGGTGGCCATGTTGCCCGGGGCCCCAGGCGCAGATAGGACAGAGACAAGCCAAGCTAAGGCACTGATTAACACAGAGACTGGGACGCAGCGCCTGACCTGGGGACCCGGGGAGACGGAGAGGCTGGGTGGTTACAAACCCACTGAGACCCACCCAGAAGAGAGGGTGGAGCCCTGGGCAAGAATCTGAGGGGCATCTTGCTCCAGGCGTGGAGTCTTCAGGTTCCTGGGCCCCTCCCCCCTTGCCCTGTGGCCTCTGGGACAGAGGTCCAGCCCCTCCCCCCAGGAAGGCCCAACACCAACTGGGCCCTCCCCATGACCAGGAGGTTGGGGTGTGAGAGCAGGGGGTGGAAAGGCATGCAGTTCCCCCCCACAAACAGGATCCCCATCGCCATGACAACCCACCCCGCCCCCGGGGCCACTCAGCAATCAGGAATGTGACCACCCCTCCCCCCAAGCCCTCTCTGTGGATTGGGGAGGAGGGGACACTAAACACACCCCACCCCACCCCCAGCCTGGCGTCTGGCACCTGGGTCCCAGGCTGTGCTAGAAACCACAGCCAGGGCTGGAGGGCCCAGGCCTTCCTCAGGAAGCCAGACTTGGGGTGCAGGCGGAGGAGTCAGCCCTCGGCCCGGACACCTGGGTCTTGTGACCAGCTAGCTCCCCACCCTCCTCTCAGAGGGGGGCAAGCAAAAAGCAAAATGTGAGCCTCCAGGGCTTAGAGGTCCCAGGAGACAGGCTGGGTACAATAGCAGAAGGCCTAGGCCTCTTCTCCATGGATCTCAGCCCCAGAAACAAGGGGCAGGGCTGGGAGCACAGCAGGGAACCCTGAGCTCTGCATTCCTGGCACCCATACCTGAGCCAGGGCGGTAACAGGCTCGTGGGCTGAAAGGGAGAAAGTGAGGCTCAGGAAGGGGGTGGGGTGAGTGAAGGGTCAGAGACCAGCGGCCAGGAAGTTCTCTCAAAGAGCACAGCCCCAGCAGGGCTGCTCCCAACCACAGGGCCATGGGAAACCATGGACAGCAAACCCAGAGGCAGCTGAACGGTGTGACAGGGGACCCAGGAGGCCACCAGCTGCCCAGCCTCAGGGGCGGAGGAGAAACAAAAGAATGGATGGGAATTAAAAATAGAAAGACACGCCAGATATACCCGCCCTGCTGACTTCTCGCCAAATAAAGGGTGGGTCTGGAGGAAAGAGGGAAGCCAGGGGCCCGGGCAGATGGGCATCTACCCCAAAAGGGTCACCCGCCCCCTGCCTCCCCTTGACTGGAGGTACCTGGGGGGAGGTGCCAGGAGAGGGGTGCACCTTTCACTTAATGCAAGTCCCAGGCCCTCACCTCAAAAGGGGAAAAAGCCCTTCCTTCAAGCTACAAAGGAAACGTCCTTTCTGCGTTTTGAAGCAAAGGGCGGTTCTTCCTCCACATAGAGGACATGAGGTCTCAGGGGAGGCCTGTACCCCCAATACAGACACATGTCTCCCAGGCGGTGCCTTTATATCCAGGCTGTGACTCAGAACAAGTGAGTCAAAGCTATGTGGGTCAGGGTGGGGCCAGAGGAGGACGAGGGACCCCACCGCACCCCCCCCCAACCACTGGCCAACAGGGGAGGGGGCTCTGCTGATTCTCAGCCACTCCACAAAGCCGGAAGGTCAACTCTCCCAGGCCGGGGCCCCTCCACTCCCGCCCGGCCCTCTGCATTTGCCTGGCTCCATCACGCAGAGCCAAGCACGTGAATCGCCGTACTCCCTGAGCCCAGGGCCACCCCAAGGTCTGACAAGGGAACTGAAGCTCCCAGGTGAGGAACGCGGGAGAGGACTGAACACCGATTGAACACCAGCCTCAGACCAAAGCCGAGCCCAGGGCCACCGGCCCACATGAAGCAGGGAAGGCTAAGCCCACTTGGAGTGCCAGCCAGGGTTCTGACCACCACACCCAGGGCCAGGCCCGACCTGACCCAGGAACCGGAAAATCTGGGGCAGGAGACAGTTGGGGCCAGGAAAGTGTGGCAAGCCCAAGACGCAGAAAAGAGAAGGTGGTGCCTGGCCGTGGGGGAGGAGGGTAGGGGGGAGGAAAGCTGGGTGAGGCCCTCTGGCTGCTCAGGTTTTCTGGGATTGTGAAACAGGAAGCAGAGAGACGAGGAAGGAACCTGGGAGGGAAAAATCCCTGAGTCTTGGAGGTTAATTGTTAAGTGCTTGGAGATCCCCCAAGAAGTCAAGCAAGAGAAAGAGGGAAAGGAGAAGGTTAAGATGGAGTCACCCTACACTCCAGGCAGGTCTTGCCGACCACGTGGCCCCTCTGGCTGGGCCTCTCCAGGCACTGAGCTGTTCCAGCCTCACCCACAGTCAGCCATCCTCCCCAGAAGCAGGGGCCTTCACCATGGCTCAGGATTCTACTAGATTAGGTGGGGCCATCCATGAGAACCCCCAAGCCTCCTCCCTCTCAGGAGGGGCCAGGCCCCTTCAGACTCTGCCACTCTAGGGGCTAAGGCAGCATCCCAGCATTCACCATGGGACGCTGGGATTTGTCTGTCCTTTTGGCATGCAAGGGGGACCCATCTGGGAGCTAAGAGCCTTGGGTGTACCATCCCCCAGATGTCACAAAAGCCGGAGCACAGGCAAAGGGTGGTGCCTCCTTGCGATCCAATCTGACCTCCCCTCCCCAAGCCCAACTCTTATCTCAAAAGTCCAGGCCTCAAAAGGAAGACACTGCAAAGACACTGCCTCCCTGTCCCCACCTTCTGTGCTGGAGGTCCAGGGTGAAGACAAGACGGAAGGGCTTCCCCAGTCCCAGGTGCTGCCTCACCCTGAAGCTCTACCTCACTGGGGCCAGGGGCCAGTGTGGGCCCATCTGTGTCCCCCTCCCTCTTCTCTCTTCCCTGATCCGGAAAGGCTTCCCTGCAACCCACATTCCAGCTGCCATTCCCTGGGGCCTGGGCCAGCCTCCGGACTTTGTCCCACCCCCAGCAGGTAGGAGCAGTAGAGACCTGGGTTCAGTTCTTGCCCTGCCCAACAGGGCCTTGTAGTCCGGGCCAAGAAGCCAGATGGATCAAAGATGCAGGGTAAAGTACACGAGTGTTCACACGCCACATACACCATGCACACACCAGGCTGGGTGGCTGCTTCCTCACACTGCTTCCAACCGCCCCCCCCCCCCACCCGGCCCAGGCTCTTAGGAGGCCCTAGAAGCTGGGAGAGCCCCACTTCTCCCTATACTGCATTCCCACTCAGAGGCTGGACATCTAGAACTTTCAGGGAACAAGGAGCTCAAATGATATGGGATTAAGCACACTCCTCAGGAGAGGGTACAGAGTGAGGAACGGGCCTAAGTGGGCCCTGGGGCAACTTCGCAGGCCCAGAGCAGGGTCTGTGGCAGATAAAGACACAGACTCACGTGAAGAGCAACCTAAGCAACCTAAAGGCAATTCTGCACTTGGCCCCCTCGCCTGGAAAACCTCCTCCACCCTCTACTCTCTACCCTATTTGGTTCTCCTACCTCTAGGGGACAGTCAGACCCGCACCCAATTCCAAAGGCCTCTCCAGACCAACTTTGAAGTAAGTTGCCAGAGACACTGCCCTGCCCCCCCCCCGCGTGACACCCCCGACCTCTTCCAGCAACCTCCCTCCGCCCTCCCTCCTTACTCGAGCCGACCTAGTCCTTAGGGGAAACATGAACACACCAAGTTGGGCTCTTGGGCCCCACCCTCCCACCTGGCCAGGTGCTGGAGCGGGGGGTGGGGGGGGGAGCAGGCCCTCACATTGGCGGGCTAACTCAACCACATGGCAGACTGGGCCGCTGTGGCGGGAGGATCCTATCTGGGGGGGAGCAGCAGCTGGGGCTCCCCCCACTTTCAGGATGAGGCAGCCTGGACGGCACTTCCCGGCCTCCCGGGGCCCTTCCACCCTCAGCCCCCCTTCTGAATTGCCAGCATATGGAGGAATATATTTGTGGGGCTGCGAAGGGTTCTGGCGGATAATTTCCGAGCAAGTAGATCCCCGTCTTACGCCGCCCCCAAACATTCCTCGACCCTCCCAACTTCAGACCTCTCACCGCCGCCCCAAACCAAAGTTTTCCAGATGCGAACTCCGCCTCCACATATCCCTCACTGGGCTGGGACCCTCCTGCTACCTTTCGGTCCGAGAAGGGTCTGACCCGGGGCAGCGATTAGAGACGACACCGGGGGTCTCTAAGGGGGTCCCCGGGCGCCCGGGAGGGGTTCCCGACGGCCCCAGCCCAGGCCGCGCGCCCCACGCCGCCGCGCTCGGGGGGCCCCGCGCTGACGCCGCGCTCCCCCGCCCCCACCATTATGTAACCGGCGGGGGGGGGCGCGGAGGCGCTCGCAGCGAGTCGGGGACTCGGCCGCCCCCCGCCCGCGCCCCTCCGCGCGGGGCGCCCGCGTCCTCCCGGGTGTTACGCAACCCAGCCCGGGGCCGGGGCGGCGGGCCGCGCTGCTCACCCGGGCCGGCCAGTGCGGGTAGCCCTTCATCTTGGCGAACACCAGGTCCCCGCACTTGTACTCCTTCTGCCGGTTGGAGCGCGACATGGCGGGGCTCCGGGCGCCCCGGGCTCCGCGCCGCGCCGGCGAGCGTGAGCCCAAGTTTGCGCGCGCGGCGGTGGCGGCGCCGCCGCGCTCCGGCCCTCGCGCGGCCCCCGCCTCGATGGCGGCCCCCGGCCCCAGCTCCGGCGCGGCCACGGCTGTGCGCCCGCGCCGCTCGGACGGGGCGGGCGCGGATGCAGCGGCGCGGTGCTGCGCGCTCGTGCGGTTGTTTGTGTTTGAAATTCAATTGCTCCCTCCTCAGCGCGAGGCCTCTTCCTCCTCCCCCGCCGGCCCTCTCCCCCTCCTCCCCCGCTCCCCCGCTCCCCTCCCCCTCCCGCGCCGGTTCGATGCGCGCGGCGCTCGACGCCCCGGGCCTGCCGCGGCCCGACGCCCAACCCGGGGCCGCCCGGCGGCGCGCGGCCGCACAGGCGTAAGGAGCCGAGCGCCGAGCTCGCCGAACGGGCTTTGTGTGCGGCTGTCGGGGGGCGCCCGCCCGCACGCCCGCCGGGAGGAGCTTGCGCCCGGCTGGACGGAGCGGCCTGGCGCCCCTCCCCTGGTCCGGGGGAGCGCTCGTACGCGGGGCCCGACGCAGCCGCGGGTGCCCGTGTGGGCGCGGGCTCTCCCTGCCTTCCGCCCCCTCTGTGTCCCCCAGTGCTTGCGGGTCACCGACGTGCAGACACCCGGGGGTCTGAGCGGCCTCGGCGGAGGGGAGAAGCCCGAGTTTGGGAGCCGGGAGGTGTCCGAGGGGTTGGGGCACAAAGCGGCCACGTTGTGGGCGCTGCTCCCTGGCAGAAGCGATCTGGGCTCCGCCACCCGCTAAGTCCGCAAAGATGAGCCCTTTGGGGAAGACACCGCACAATGCCAATAAATCCCAAACCGTCAATAAAGCAAATCGTCAAGACTGGGGAGCCGGGCACTACCCCGGGGGGGGGGGGGGGAGGTACTGGGGCAGAATCTGGGAAGGCTTCACAAAGGTGGTGACTTGAAGCTGGGCGTTAAAAAGTGAATGATTTTGCTGGATTCCAGATTGAGCCAAGCTTCTGGGTTGACAAGTGGTGGAGCCCAAACTTGAACTTAGGTCTCTTCCCATTAAGCCAAACAACTACTGTGATTACTTTTTTGATTTGCTGTCACTGTTGATCTTGGATTTGCTGAAATCCAGACACCTATGATCTCTTGGAAATAAGATATTTAGATCTCTTACGGCACTTCCAGATCCTTAAAATTTTGCAACTGGATATTCTGGATTTGAATAGGTAAAATACGCATGCATGCTTTCCTTCACACGAGTTTCCTGATCCACTTCAAAGCATATGCAAAGCCTCCCTGCAGGGAAGCGCAGGATGTAGCCAAAAGGCCCAGGTCCACATGCTGCTCCTGACAACAGGGACCCTTGAACTTCCCTGAGTAAGTTTCCTCAGGGGTAAGATGGGGTACTATTCCTGCCCTGCCGACATCCATGGGAGGCATGGGGTGGCCGCTCCCTACAGTCCTTCGTATCAGCTGGCTGTCCTTATACGTTATGTACTTATGGCAAAGCGTTTTACAGGTTTTGCCTTTATAACAGTGGGACCTCTCAGCGTAATTCTCCCTTGTGATAGGAGCCCCTCTGGCCCTGTCCACAGCGCTGCTGGCACAAAGGGACACCCCTGTTGCAATAAAAGAGCCAGGCATGGCCTCAGCCACAGACTTGTCGATTTGTTTCAATAGCAAATCCAAACTTGTTGCAACAGAGCAGCTAGATTCCAGTTGGTGTTTACTCTGCAAGGCATTCCAGTTTGAAATGCTGTCAGTGTGATAGTCCAGATTCTGTGCTTTTCTTTGTTGTTATTGTTGTTAGCAGACAATCTTGTCACAAATTCTTAAACCTGTTTCAGTGAATCCTGTGCCCCAATAGGTTTCCTTTAAGTGTCCAGGCCAGTGTTATAAATACGCACCATTTCAGCGCAACAAACACGTTCTAAACTGTTTTCCAATTTAGTGCACCCCAGTTCGGTTAAAACCGAGAGGGCTGTTTCACCACTCTGTTGCATCGCAATAGCCTGTTCGGAGGTGGCAGCAAGTCCTCAGAATCCTTCCACAAATCTCTTGGGCCCATCATTCACTCCATCATGCAGATGCTGGTTGCAATAAAACTAGCAGGATTCCCTTTGTTGCAATAATCTCCCGGACCTTGGTTGCAATTTAATATCCAAGTTCTCCTTACAATAACATCCTCAACCACCTCACAGCTGGCCCTAACAACCCAGCCAAGCACAGAAGGTCAGTTACACGGGTGGCCAGGCATAAGCCTGCCTCCCCTGGGAGTCAGGTCTAACTTAGTGCTCTGCAGATTTGAATGCGCAAACAAACGAATCATCTGGGAATCCTCTTAAAAAGCAGATTCTAATTCAGTAGGTTTGGAGTGGCTGCACTTCTAACAAGCCCCAAGGTGCTGCTTCTACTTTGGACCACCATTTGAGTGGTGGGATCGAAAATGCACAAGTCACAGGCCCCCAGATTCCCAGCCCAGCTTGGAACCAATTCACAGATGTCTCCGTGAAATCATTCCGTTGATGCTGGTGTTTGGTTCAACTTCTGTGTGGGAGGGAGGTCAGGACAGAAGTCAGGGGACTTGGGGCCCCACAACAGAGAAGACTCTGGGTGCAGACCTGGCTCTAGGGTTGTGAAGCCTGTCTCCAGAGGAGCAAGGTCAGGGGGATGGTGGGGTCCTTATTGTCCCTATGGGGAAGGAGGAATTAACACTGCAGCAGGAGGGCTGGTGCTCAGGCTGCTAGGGGAAGGGGCAGTGTAGTCTGGTGGAAACCACCTGGGTTTGCATGTCAAGGAACTGGTTTGAATCTCGCTTTTGGCAAACAACTTAGAATTTCTTTCTTTCTTTCTTT